ATTAAAGTGACTAAATTTATGCATATTAGGATTCTTTAAAAAATATCGATACTTATCGATATTAATAAAAGGCCTTCCTATGAAAAACAGAAACTATCACAACTCGTTTTTCCTTTACCTTAAGCAACATGTGATGCAAGCTTCTCATCATGGCAGAGGCTTGGCTTTAAGTCCATCGTTGTGTTAGGTGCACTTTCAATGATTACCTTTCAACTGACATACATACATGCAGACACACACACGCACACACACACATACCTCAGCGTGTATCTAAGTACACACATTAATACAATTTACGTGTAACAAAACAAATTCCAAAAGCACAACCGGATTTCAATATACGATTTCGTTGATTGTTGTTGTTATTGTTGCTGTTGCTTGATCTGCTTTTGTTTATGTCGTGTTCGTTGTTGTTGTTGTTGTTGCAGTTGCCTGGCGCACGCTTTCATTTTATTTGCTTATTTTATTGTTGCTGTTGCTTTTGCTGTTTTGTGCAGTTGACTTATTGTAGTTGCTGTCGCTTGGCTGAGTTTTGGCAGTCACTGCAACATGCATTTCAAACTGTAACAACAACTGCCAAGTGATTATTCAACAGGCGAAAGGCAAAAGAAAGAAATAATGAAAAATAAATAAAAATCGCAACACTTACGACAATTAAAAGAGTTCAAGTCAAATATAAAAATAAAAATAAATGACATACCGCAATTTCAGACACTAAAAAACAACCTTGCCCCTCGCCCTAAATACTCTTGCTGTGGATATTATTACATTTTAACCAGCTCTGTGTAACACACATTAATACATAAATACGGATACACATAAATGCACATACATAAACATATATAGATATAAGCGTGGTAGACAATTGAGAGCAGTTAAGACCTTAGTTGAGTAATTTACGACTGGAATGGATGGCACCCATTTTGGGGAAGCAATAGTGCGAATCGTCGCGGAGAAGTCATATTTGAGGCGATTCAAAACTTACAATTCAGCATATTGGCGACTGGAGCCCCCACCCGTTACCCAATTAATGGACACAGGCCCTCGGCAATCGACTTCGCTGTCTACAAAGGCATCTGTGACCGGCAATTGACCATTGAAGAATCCTTGGACCTATCCTCTGACCACCTGCCACTAATAGTCACAATCCACGCGCAGCCACAGCCCTTGCCCATTAGGAAACAACTACTGCCAGCAGGATCAGATTTAGGAGTCTTTAGGCGCGAGCTCCATTACTCTTTGCACATAGAAATGGAACTTAACACTCCTGAAGACGTGGACTACGCAGCAAACAAACTGCAGGAAGAAATAGTCAAAGCTGCGCACCAAGCCGCCCCACCATCTTGCCAAACAAGACAACAGTCTCCGTACAACATCCCCCTCACCTTGGAGGCCCAACACCTACTAATACACAAAAGATGGGCCAGGAGACGCTGGTTAAGATTACGCACGCCTGATGCCAAATCCATGTACAACGAAGCCACGAGGCATCTTAAAGCTGCTCTCGCCCTGCTTCAAAAGAGGTGTATCAGCGATGCGCTGGTACGAGCTGAATCGCCCACTGACGCAGAGTTTCAATTATGGAAATTTACAAGAAAGCTCAAACGGCAGCCAATACGACGTCATCCCATTCGGAGCATTTCTGGTTCCTGGCACATTGGAGACGAAGCTCAAGCTGAGGCTTTTGCAAACCACCTTCAAGACCAATTCACGCCGGTGATTACCGCAGAGGCCTCAGAAATCGAAGCAACAGAAGACATCGTTCTCTCGCCCCTCCCAGCTGAAGACCAGATAACTGGATGTACAAAAGAAGAGGTTCTTGAACACATCAGAAGAGTGAAGGCAAAAAAATCCCCTGGATATGATCTAATAAACGGCAGAGTCCTTAGAGCACTGCCTGACTCCACCATAGACTACATAACTATGGTGTACAACGCCATGCTCCGCATCCGGCACTTTCCAGCCTGCTGGAAGCGCGCCGTGATTGTGATGATTCCTAAGCCTGGCAAACCCGTGGGAGAAATTGAGTCGTACAGACCAATTAGCCTGTTGCCAGTACTCTCCAAAATATTCGAAAGAATATTTCTGGAACGAGTACTGACACATCTGGGACGCCAGGAGGCCATTCCAAACCATCAGTTTGGCTTCAGGAGACAGCATGGAACACCGGAACAGGTTCACAGAGTTGTGCACCATATCCTTGGAGCCTTTGAAGAAAAGATGTACTGCTCTGCCGTCTTTTTAGACATCAAACAGGCGTTTGATCGAGTTTGGCACCTGGGACTGCTGCAGAAAGTGAGGACCACCCTTCCAGCCCCATTTTTCGCGTTGCTATCCTCATACCTTATTGGAAGAACCTTCCAAGTGTCAAGGGGGCAAACAGTATCCTTGACTAGACCAATTATGGCTGGAGTACCACAGGGTAGTGTTCTAGGCCCAACACTTTATACTTTATTCACAGGAGATATGCCAACTCCCGAGCCAAATATAGGAAGTACAGATGCAGTACTCATAGCGACCTATGCAGATGACACCGCCATCTTATCACGTCACGTATCTGCGCAAGAAGCTTCAGACTCACTACAAAAATATCTGGACTCTTTCGGACGCTGGGCAAAACGGTGGTGTATCACCATTAATGCACAAAAGTCTGTACATACTACCTTCGCCACTAGAAGAGGAGATTGCCCAAGCGTTGCATTGGGGCCCACTATTCCCAAAGCCTCAAAAGTAAAGTACCTTGGTATCACTCTTGACAGAAGGCTGACTTTTAAAGCGCACATAAGTCAAGTAACCTCAAAATGCAAAAGCAAGCTAAAAACCCTCGACTGGATGCTGAGAGCTTCAAGCAAGTTGTCTTACAGCAGCAAGGCCGCCATCTACAAGGCAATAGTTGTCCCAACCTTCGTATATGGTATCTCTCTATGGGGCTCCTCGGCGAAGACTACAAGGAACAAAATTCAGACCCTGCAGAATAAAGCACTACGCAGATGGACTGGAGCCAGCTGGTTTGTAAGAAACTCAGTCTTACATAGGGATTTAGCAATTCCCACAGTTGCTGAACTCATTGGGCGACACAGTTCAAGATACGCGGACAGACTTGCAGCGCATCCTAACCATCTCGCAAGCAACCTGGCTATAAACAACAATAGGCGAAGACTGAAGAGATTGCATCCTCTAGACAATATTAGAACTAATTAAGATAGTAGCTACAAGTGCAGAATAATTGGCATATCTGCCCTCCCATTAGTTAAGGTTTAGAGCTAAATGCGCTATAGAGTCTAAGACAATAAGCTGCAACAAAATAAAGAAATAAAAACGAAAAAAAAAAAAAAAAAAAAAAAAAAAAAATTTACGGCTACCGAGAAGTGTGAGCAGGCAGACTGTATAGCTGTGGTGTGACTCTCCCGGTTCTATCAACGCTAGTCTGGCGAAGCTGTAAACATTTGAGAATTTTATGCAAAGAGAGCAAAGACGACTGAAGCTTGCGTTCAGTTTCATGCAACTGTAATGTGAGAGAGAGCGTTGCTGTCTAGCAAATTCGAATATGTATGTGTGCATATATTTATTTATGTGTGCGTGTATGTATGTGTGCATGCATGTATGTTATATTATATTTATATGTGTGCTAAAGAGTGTATTTCATATTCGGCTATTCACATTTTAATGCTTTCTGCCTCTCCCTCCCTCTTTGATCGACACTGAGTGTGTGTGCATATACAAATACGTTTTATATAAATTTAAGTATATAAAATTTATATATTTCTATTTAGTTTTATTGTATTTCCATAAATAAACAATATGTTATTCATTTATATTTTTAGAGCAAATTTTACTTCTTTTGTATGATTTTTTGGTTTGTTTTGTTTTCTTGTTTTGTTGGAAACATGTGATTAATAACAATATAAAATTGTTTAAAACAAATCAAATTATGGCAATTAGAAGTAATACTTTGGCTATACGAAAACCGACAAAAACATAATTAAAATATATATAACATTTTTTTTATATTTACTTAACTATTTCTTATATTCTTTTAATTTAAATGTTTTTCGATTTAATTTAAATACTTTTTGAATGTTTTCTAGTTAATGTTTAATGAAATATCTAGCATTATAACTTTCAATCTGGGAACGATACAGTTTCTACTCTTTATTATATATATATGTATATAATTAGAAATAATGTCAAGCCTTATCTGTGCTCTTTCAACATAATCATTGTAGTATAAAAGCTTTTGATACTACAAATTTATTGCTAACTTCTTAGGATTCTTTTAAGGCGCAACTCGTTTATATTTGTATATTTATCAGCATGAGGTGAATGGCAAACGAAATTACTCTTCAAAGAGAAATATAAATGTCGTTTTTCTGTTGTCTGCTTATCTTACAATGTTCTCTTATCGAACACGTTGGCTTTTGGCTTTTTCAAGTCGTGTTCAGTGGAATCGTTCAAATTGAGCTGAAGTTTTTGATTGTTTGAGCAGCCGCTAAAACACTTGACTTCAGCTGCGCTCACTACACACCAGCTCAACTACACACACACACACAAGAGTAAAAGTTTCAACTGCGATGTACTTGAACAGACTGAATGGACTTATAATTATAGTTTACCCAACTTCTTGGGGCATTGGCTTAAAGCCTTTCGAGCACAGTGAATTGAAATTGATTGAAAAATGATTGTTGATTGTCGCCTCTTGTTCAAAGCTGTGGATTTGTCATTGGGTTGGGATGCTACACAAATGCCAAGTATATATAACATATATATATATATATATATAGGCTTGATCATATTATATTTAATATATTATTTAAGGCATCGTTTTTCATATATTTACATTCATTTTTTGAAGCCAATGGGACTTGCAGCAGTCAGGCTTTATAAGGCTCTCAACTCGTTTTTAAATGACAAAATGAACTGCAGTATAAATATATATATATATATCTTTATAATCAGCTACGACTTAATCTATATCATATTTCGCTCTGATTTGCTTACAGAAAGTTCCGGTGTGCCTCAAACAGTTTATAAGGGTAATCACAAAAAATATACAAAAGAATGCCTAATCATATTCGACAAGGAAACGGGTGCTATCACATTAGAGAAGCTAAACCACAATATACAAGTGAAGAAGACAAGGTGAGTGTAGCTCTGGCATGTCACACACGTCAATTTGATGGCTTAACCCAATTTTGAACTCAACAGAAGCGAAATGACAAACAAGCCAAGCTTGATGCCTGCTACAAATGCTGCACCCATACCAACTGGCGCTAATGGTGTGCCGATGCCGTCCGCGCCGATCGCCGGCACAGGATCTGCACTCAAATTGGAGAACAGCACCATGCGCATAACATCGAAAACGAAAGTGTCGACGGGCAGTCGCCGGAACAATATAAGTGAGTAAAGTAGCTAAAACACTGGCTTAACATTGGCTAAATGTTGTTTGCATCTTTTCAGTTGATTTTAAGCCACGCAATTCGCCCATGCAACAGAGCTCACCATCGCGTCCAGTGGCCTCGCACCGCAGTCCGCAATCGGCGCCGGCGTAAGTTTTACAATTATATATCTCATATAACATATCTATAGCTATCTATTTCGTTTAGCTGGCATGCCAACAATGCCCAGCAAACATTGCCTAGCATACCTATGATAATGGACGATGATGACTTTGGCTTAAGTGCAGCTCTGCACAATGGCGGTCAGGCGAATATCTCGGGCTCCTCCACAGGTTCTTCGGTAGGTCAGCCGGATTATGGGTCAGCGCATATGGGCAAGCAACGACAAGCGCCGAACCAAGGTCATGGCAAACGGCAGCAACAGACCCAACGCTCCAGTCCTCCCATGCACCAGCAGCAGCAACAGAATTATGGCCGTGGCGGCGGCAACAACAACTACGCACAACAGCAGCAGCAGCACCAACAGCAACATCAGCAGCAAATGCAGCAACGCGCATCATTTAGCCATAGCAATCATAGCAACAGTATGCCCTTGGACTTGGATTCGCCCAGTCATCACGAACAAAGCGCATCTATGGCACAGGCAGCCGCCGCGCTGGAACAGGTCGGTGCCTTAAGCGTCTGCAATCGATTGTTCGTAAACAGTTCTTGTTCTTGCTTGCAGCAAATTGGCGGTGAACTGAGTGCGTCTAGCTCGAGCTCAGAGTCTGAATCCAGCGATAGCGACAGTGGCAGCGATTCTGATGACAGCACCGAGGATGATCGTCCCACGCATCAGGAGCAACAGCCGCCAGGGCAGCTATCACATCATCATCATATGCAACAGCAACAACAACAGCATCAACATCATCATCAGCAGCAGCAGCAGCAACACATGCATCAGCTGCCTAATCTGGGACTGGGTTCTATATCGCCGACATACAATAGTCATCATCATCATCAACAACAACAACAGCAGCAGCAGCAGCAACAGTCGCATCATCATCATCACCAGCAACAGTCCGGCATTTATGCATCCAATGGTGGCTTTCCCAATGACTTGCTACAAAACGATCTGCAATTGTCGTCAAATTCGTCCGATGATGATGATTAGCCTTTTTTAAACTGTAAACCATTAAGTTGTAATCTATGTTGCCTTCTTTTTTAACTAATTTAAAGAACAACAACGACCATAAATAAATATCAGCATCCGCAAACATTAAACAAACAAACAAACAAACACTATATAGCAAACACATTATTAATTATTGATATTCATTCTCTCTGCATTGAAATAAGTTGAAATTATTATTGAATGGTGAATTTAATTGCTAGTGAAATTTTTATAAATAAATTCTTAGTTCTATGGTAATACATACAGACATACATACATATACATTTAAAACTAAACTAAACTAAACTAAACTAAATAATTTTTAACATTATTTTTACAAACGCAAACAAATGTGCTGGAGAACATTGAAAGCAAACACACAACCACAATGTAATTCGTAATTGTAAATGCTAAACGTACTTTTGCCAATATTTCAATGTACATTCGTTTTAAAATTAAATCAAAGGTTATGTGAAAAACTTGGCAGTCCTGATGAGTGCGCACGCAACACCAACAACAACAACAAATTATTTAGTTCTAATCGAATCACATATATATGTATGAAATGGGGAACGATAACAAAAAAATGACCAGAGCGGATTTTTGCCATTAATTACGCATTTTAGTCTAAGCGATTTTTCAGCTAACATTTAGATTTAATACTTTTTGACAAAGAAAAACAAAAAAAAAAAAAAACAAAACAAACACCAAAAGAGACGGACAACAAGAATAAAATAATAAAAAAATACATATAATATAAACAATTAAATATAAATTGTAAATTAGTTTATGCTTTGTAATCATTATTATTATTTTTTTCTGTTCTTTGCTTCGATCGTTTTAGTCACGTAGATTTAATATGCGATTTCTTCATTGTCATTGTTATTGCGCAATAAAACAAAAGATTATGTTTAGTTTTCAATTATTTTTGTTAGACGATATTAAAAAGTATTTAGTAATTAATTGCTAGCGTGCGGTATGAAGACATCTATGTTCTTAGCTCATGTTTTATTTGAATTTATTTGTAATTTTTTTTAATTAATTTGTAATTAACTATTATTATTATTATTATTATTATTATATTTTAATTTTGTTATGTGCTTGCAATTTAAATTGAATTCAAACGAAATGAATTGTGGAAAAATAAATATGCATTGAAAGAACTCTCAGCTTAAAACAATTTATTTTTTCATCTATGTAAATTATTTAGTTATTATTATTATTATTCTTAGTATTATTGCTGCAGTTTGGATAATAATGTGACTCCTTCCAATAGAGAAATGCACTAAAAACAAAGATTAAGAAATATGTCCACAGAAAAAAACATTTTTGTTAACATTTTACACTAATAGCATTTAGTTTTCCAATGATTATGATACGAACTAAACGCATTTGTAAAGAACCATCCAGAATAAGAAGAAGATGAAAGAAAAAGCAAACGACCAACAGTTAAAACGTCTACACATAAAGAAAAGAGAGAATAATAGAATTATTTTTTTAAATCAATTACATTTAAATATAAAATGTTAATAAAAATCTATGTTGTTTGATTTCCAAGCCATAGATATTTCATTGACAAGTTATTTTTATGACACCAAAAAGTAGAAGATGAAACTGAATATTGATTCTGATAATCATAAGCACAATGTATGTTGATGCGTACAGCCTAGAGAACTAATTAAAATTAATTTTAAAAACAGATAGAAAGAGCGAGAGAGAAGAGTAGGAGGAGTTACTATATTACAATGAAAAATCAAGCAAGTAGTTTAATTGATAAGCAAATGTACGCTATATATATACATACACATATATATATATATTATAATTATATACACATATATTCATACAAGCATACCATACGATGATGATAATGATAATGATAATTCGATACATAAGACCGAAACACTCGGATCTGGTGTCAGTTGACCTAGTTTTAATGACAAAGACAAACAACAAATCAACAATACAATGATGACAAATGCAACGTTATGTAAATAGTTAAGAGAAGAAATCATACACACACACATACAGAGAGAGTACATGCCCTTGAAAATGCCTTTACCATGTAAATAGATGAATGAAGATCGAAGCAAGAGAAAGAGAGAGAGAGAGAGAGAGAGAGAGCGAGAGAGTTACACAGCTTTGGCTGCCGATTACAATTAAATAAAGTGAGCGAAATATGTATACAATTGACGAATTCCTGAATTCTTTTTTTTTTTAATACATACATATTTAATACACACACATAGATCTACACATATCTCTACTTATATTTACATAGTTGAGTCTGTGATCCTGTTTGGACTGGTTGGTGCTAATACTTTTGGCTTAATGATCACAAATCGACAAACTAATGAATCATCTATCATCATGACCGCTGCGGAATTGTCAAACATATTGCAGTAGTTGGGCGCCGAGAAGATGGTCACCAGCTTGCGTCCAGCGAAAAACTCATAGCCATCTTCGACCACCTGATGGGCTCGTACCACCAAATTGAATTTGTGCGCTTCGAGAAATGCGTTGACAATGTTGACGCCATATGTGTAGCTAACGCCGCGATCATTTTCGCCCCAATTTTCAACTTCCCCATCGGGATCCGACCAGAGCAGATCGCAGAGTAGCCCATGCGGGGGCACTTCAATTGGCCGCGGTATTTGACGTATCGCGTTAACATCATCCAATTCTGGACTGAGGCCGCCGTGGCAGCAAAAGACCTTGTTCTCTATGATGGCAGCCACTGGCATACAATTGTAGCAGTCGACGAAGGTGCGCCAGACCTTAATGCTGTAGCGTCGCTTGCACTCGTCGAAGAAGCCATAAATGCGATTCACTTCACTGGATTCGTGATTGCCACGAAGCAGGAAAAATATCAAAGGATATTGCACTTTATAGGCGAGCAGCAGCATCAGCGTCTCGATGGACTGTTGCCCTCGGTCCACATAGTCGCCAAGGAAGAGATAATTGGATTGAGGTGGAAACCCGCAATTTTTAAATATTCGCAGCAAGTCTTCATATTGTCCATGTATGTCGCCGCAAATCTTAATGGGCGCACTTAGCTCCAATAGCATTGGCTGACTGAGAAAAACTGCACGCGCAGCCATGCATACGCTGGTTAAGGATTTTTCCGACAATGAAACGCCAGCTAAAGGCGATTTGTTGGCCGATAACTTGTGTATGACATCCTTCAATTCTACTGAGTTCAACTCTGTACTTCTACCAACGGCCGTCATACGATAAGACATAATTTAAATAAACTGTTACAATTGGATTTTGAAACGGTTTCCTATTTTAGCTATCCAGAAGACGTTATACAGTACTAGATATGGTGCCAAAAATAAAAACGACAGTACCCTATCGATATGATTTACTTATATATATATATATCGATAAGATTTATAAACACATCGCTTGCCATGTGCGGCAGAAAATGATTTCAGGCTTATATTTTATGATGACTTCACGCTAAGATTTTGTACAATTTGAAAATGTTAGAGGCTGGCAGCAATAATGATGATGTACTTGAAAAATGCATTTTTATATAACTAATTTTATAGCTATGGAGAATTAATAACGGAAGCTTGGAGAAGTGAATTTGTTTTATTTTCGTCCAGTTCCGCAAACAGCTGTTCGACGACCAACAGCTGATAAGAACTTTGGCAAGCAACGTGTTTTTTTTTTGCACAAAGTTGAATTTTGGCAATTGGACAAGCAACAAGTGATTTTGGAATAAAAAATGGGCGATGTTACAGGCCTGACCAATGCTGAAGCCGACGAGCTTTGCCAAAAACAGGATCCAACTACAAAGGTAGGCTGGAATTAAACAAGTTTTCAGTCTGCAAATAATACCGGCAACAATTTTCGGCAGGACTTCCTGTTCCAGCAAACGATGTACCGCATCAAGGACCCACGCAAATCGTTGCCCTTTTACACAGGTGTCTTGGGCATGACTTTGCTGGTGAAATTGGACTTTCCTGAGGCAAAGTTCAGCTTGTATTTTATGGGGTATGTTCAAGGTCACTGGCAATTAACATATGTTATCTTGGTATTTATGTATAACATCTGATGTCATAGCTACGAAAATCCCGCCGATGTACCCAAAGATCCCAAAGAGCGCCGAAGCTGGGCAATGAGTCGCAAAGCCACCATCGAATTGACCCAGTAAGTCTGATCTTTCGACTTTTGCCAATATTGTGACACTATGAGCTGTTTGATTATAGCAACTGGGGCACCGAAAGCGATCCGGATCAAAGCTATCACACGGGCAACAGCGAGCCACGTGGCTACGGCCACATCGGTCTGATGGTACCCGATGTCTATGCTGCCTGTAAACGGTTCGTCTGCAACTGACATAAGACAACTTCAATCCTTATCATTATTATTATCTTTTATTGATGTAGCTTCGAGGAGCATGGCGTGGAGTTCATCAAGAAGCCCGACGATGGCCGCATGAAGGGCTTGGCATTCATCAAGGATCCCGATGGCTATTGGATTGAGATTTTCAATGCCTATACCGTACAGAACTAAATACTGAGATATTCATAAAGATTTTGTTTTCCTGCCATTTTAAATAGTTACCGAAACGGCAAATTTTTTTATATATTCTGTTTTTTTTTAAGAAATTAAACCTAATTTTCGCAGGGCTCAAATCAAAAGCTGTATTTGCAAATGGCGTGACAATTACGCCAACAACAACAACAACAACATATACTGTCTAGCTCTTCATTCATAAAGCCACTGCCGTGTGGCAGGAATAATTGGCTTCTATGTCCTTAATTGATTGACATATAGCTGCCACTCTAATTATTATTTACAGCAGCGCTATGTGGAACGCAGGGACAGACAAAACAACTGTCAACACGTGTGGGTTTGCTTTCGCTTTTGCTTTTCCAATTTTCACTTAGGCTGTCTGCTCTAATAATGGTCAAACACGGGAGCGCACTATTTGTTCAGTGTCAAATGTTCATGAAAAAATAACCAGACGGTTTACACTCGGCTGCCAGGTGCCGAGGCTCAGTACTTGTCGAGAGCTTGGCGGCATCGCTTGAAGATCGAGAAACATTATGGAAATCTCTGAGCCCAACATTGGCATCTTCTATGTTAGCAAGATTTTGGCTCTGGCGCCATATGCAGCCAAAAAGAACTCGAAGGGTCAGCTAGAGATACGTCGCAGTTGGATATTTTCCATATACTCAGTTTGCCTGTGCATGATAATGGGTAGGTCGAATAACTACTGTAGCAGTCCTACGTGCTATCCAAATTGATTTTTTAAACAGTTTTCCTAACCTATCGTGGACTTCTTTTCGATGCGAACTCGGATATACCAGTTCGGTGAGTTCCTTGTATTTCTTTATGCAACAGATGCAGAGCTTTATTTTTGTTTTATTGAAGCGTTACATAGTAGATTTAGTTGTTCTCTGCAGTAGGTCTAGAGCTGTGGCGCAGCCGCCTCCAGTGGCTCAGCAGACGTTAGGGCCTCTCGAGCGTACCGACCCACGGGCCTGAAGGTGGGCCGCGGCAGATATGGCGGCTTATCATGCCCGGCCAGTGCCATGGCGCAGATGGAGAGCAGCAGCAAAATAATTGTGAAATTCATTTCGTAGCGATTGACAATGCTCGATTGATGCTGTTCAGCTGACATTCTGCGGCTTTTATAGCCAAGCTCTGCTGCACTTTAGCTAGAGTACTTTTTTTTATGGCGCACTGGGGGTTTACATATGGTCAAGTAAATGTGTGAGCTGCCTAACTAATTACTTATTTCGTTCACTTGATCGAAGTCTTATCGGCATTGCTTGCCTTTAGCTTAAGGGGAATTTTCTACAATTCACGCATAAAATATATGTAACATAATTAAGATCTTTTGTATAGATATTTTGTGATCGGATGCAGGCATTTGCTGAGAGCACAAATATATAAAACTATGCTGTAGACAGAGATGTTATATTTAAGATTTTCCGAAAAGTTAAGCTTAGGGGAGTGCACGACTAGCAAACACCCTGAACATTGCGCACAGCTGCTATACCAATCATTCTATACTATGGGTGCTTAGGTCCAGAAATACAGTCAGGTGTAAGGCTGAATGGCTATGCTTAACAACAGCTTGAAAGGGTTAAAAAATCTATGTGCAAAAGGAGACAGATTCCTGGTTACCAAATGCTGTTGGCCTGTGCTATTCCTAAGCTCTATAGCTAGGCATAGCTTGATTAGATTTAAGCTCGTTGTGCAGCTGCTCAGCAGAAAAGAAGGATAAATCTGTTTCATTCAAAACGATTCCATGCTCATCTTCGTTTAAGTGATGTCCCTCATATAGACAGTAATCAGACACGATCTTATGTGTTGGCAACTTAAAGACTTTGAGTGAATTTAAATTTGAATAAAACCCAACACATCAAAAGCGCATCTTTCAGAATGAAATCGGCGACTTCGAAAGTGGTAACCGCCTCGGACGTGTCGGTTGTGGTGCTGGCCATCGTGACTGGTGTTTACTGTGGCATGTTTGGCTTGCGTGCCACACAGGAGTTGAACATACGACTGCAGAGGGTAAAGCGCGCATCAGATCATTGATTATTTTTCCTAATTGATTCTGATCACAGATCGACAGCACTCTGAGTCCCTTCAACAATTTCAAGAAGGATCGCTGGCGCGCCTACGGCATGGCCAGCGTGTCGCTCGTTGTCATTGGCATCCTGCTTGGCCTGGATGTGGGCACCTGGGCGCGCATGGCACAGGAAATGAACATTAGCCAGGCGGACACTGGTGAGCACTGCAATTGCGCTCCTTCACTTTGATCGGTTTCAGTATTTCAGATCACAACATCTCATTGCCAGAGCTCAACGTTCAGTGGTATATACCCTTCTACAGTCTCTACTTTATCTTGACCGGGCTGCACATCAATTTCGCAAACACGGCCTACGGCCTGGGCAGGCGCTATAAGCGGCTCAATCAAATGCTGCGAGCCAGCTATCTGGGTGGTAAGCAAAATGTTCACATTCCCATATATAAACCACGATATTTAGAGGATAGTTAATAGATAGATAGAATTTGCAGACAAAACTTATGGCAATGCAACCAATCTGATCAGAGTAAGTGCTGTCAGGTCCATCAGCTTTAAGCCAATGATGCCAATGGCACTGCACGCCAGCCTAACGAAGTTAAACAGTGACACCTTGGCTAATGAAGCCGCAGGTAGGTGGCTACACGTATTCACTATTGCCAATAATCGGTCTATATAAATAGATATTTCGGTAACAGCTAAAAACAAAAGCTTGCTGATTCGAGCCATGGCCGATAATCACGAGTCGCTGGGCAAATGCGTGCGATTGCTCTCGAGGTGAATCCTTGACCTAGATGCAGAAATTATAAATAAACTGTATTAATAAACTTGGCAGATTCTATGGTATAGCTGTGCTGTTCATACTGGTCTCCTGCTTGCTGCACTTGGTTGCCACGGCTTACTTTCTGTTTCTGGAGATGCTCAATAAGCGGGACAACGGCTATGTATGGGTGCAAATGCTCTGGATCATCTTTCACTTTCTGCGCCTGCTCATGGTCGTGGAGCCGTGTCATTTGGCAGCGCGCGAGGCACGCAAGACCATACAAATTGTGTGCGAAATTGAGCGTAAAGTCTTTGAGCCCATTCTGGTCGAGGAGACCAAAAAGTTCTGGCAACAGCTGCTGGTCGACGACGCCGAATTCTCTGCTAGCGGACTATGCCGGGTTAATCGCACCATTCTGACATCGGTAAACTGAAAGCTAACAAACTTTCTTTATACTTCAATTATAATCTATTCAGATTGATCTTAGTTCTATATTCACACAAAGTTGTCTCATCTGTTGCAGTTTGCCTCGGCAATAGCTACCTATTTGGTCATACTTATCCAATTTCAAAAGACGAACGGTTGAAGCTCGCCACGAATTCATAATTCTGTTTGCCTTGTCAGTTATACAAAAGGTTGCTTTTATTAACACTAAACGGAATTCTTAGCTGTGTTTAAGTCTGTAATTGCGTTGGCAAACAATAAAGGAAAACAATATTTTTTTTGTGATTATTCCAAACCGAATTTAAATTGTACGCTTAAGCAAACTGAGTTCCATGGTTGCTTAAACGCTTATTATAATTAGATTTCATAATATTGTTTTAAACTAGTTGATTAAAAACTCGATCTTAAGTTGCTCAGAAACCCTTCTGGTACTGCTTTGTTTCCATGCGCTGCTGGAGCAGCTCCAACTGACGCTTCGCCTCGCATTGTGGAAAGTTGTTCAGATCGTAGTACTGCGGCGCCAGACTGAGCAGCCATTCAGCTGTAATACGACAAGGAACTTGATGAAATGTGGACTAAGTGTGGGTATTTTGGTTCACTTACGCTTCACGTCTGTCACAGTCCGTATATAGTTTTTGGTGGTCAACACGAATTCGTTGTAGATGACCCAGTCGGGCTTGTGGTCGAGACATGTTGACGGATGCAGCTGCACGTTCTGGTTGTCCTTGATGGTCAGATAGTGTCCCGTTCGCTCCAGATGAGCAACCTGCATAAAGAAGCCCTGGACAAGAGCTTTGCGTATATTGACATAGTAGTCCTTCGAGGTGAACTCCGTGCTGGTGCGCTTCAGATTGAAACGGTCCATGATACGTGCCAGTTGCTGGCGCACATTGTCAGCGCTCTTAAGCGATCGAAAGTTGATAAAGTTCTCATAGCACCAGTTCGCATCCTCGCTGCCTATTCGGGGCGGGACAAGTCCAATTAAAAACAATCGATTGCAAACAAAAGTTAGCGAACTTACTCTGTTTGAAGGCGTGATAGACATTCAGCAGCGTCAGATGATCCCCGTCGATGTGAGCGAAACGCTGCTTGGCCTCGTCAGCCACTTTCTTTGCCTCATTGGGTCGCACGAAACATTGTGGCACTTTGGTTGATGTTTGATTTTTGAATTGGTTTGTTTTCGATTAAGCGCAAATTCAAAACATTTTTTTACATAAACAAATAGATTGTGCTTACATTTTGTCAGCTAGGCAATCTAGATATTTGATTCAGAGATTGATTGCATTTGTGAGTTGCAAGTGCGTTCTAGGCCACAAAGCCGGCGTAAACAATTAAAACAGTTAATTCGAGGAAATGCCGCCACATCACATTTCATTCAAATGTGCGAATCAGATGGAACGCACGTGCAACTTGACTTCAGTGTTGAATGCAAAGAACAAATAAATTGATAAACTTTTTTCTTTGCACGTTCGAAATACAGCTAAAAGTTAATGTCAGCGTGCGTCAAAGTCCTTGTCGAAAGAAGCTTAAATGGTAAATGCGCAATTACATTAGCTTCAAGGGGCAGGAAATTGCTGGATCTAATATTATAATATAAGTGCCATTTGAAGATAATGTTATTGTGCTACAGCTAAAGAGGACCCCATAAAACTGAAGCTAGCTAACTTTCAATTTAAAAGAGAACCCATTGGAAACTTAGCTCTGCTCTAAAAACTTCTGCATCTATCAAGTTAATCAGTGTAGTTTGTTTCTCACCCGACAGCATAGCCGTAATTGAAAGTATCTCGTTGGAGCAATTGTGCTGGCAACTGGCTATTAGCATCTTGGCCAACTGTGGATCCAGAGGAAACTCGGACATAACAGCACCGAGATCTGTTAGATTGCCATCATCGTCGAGGGCGGCCAAGTAGTTGAGCAGCTCCAAAGCACGCATCAGCGTCTCGGGCGCCGGCGGGTCCATGAAATCAAAGTGCACCAAGTCATCAATGCCCAGTTTCTTGAGCTGCAGCACCACAGTGCCTAATTGACAATTGAAATAACATAAATCAATGGAATTGAGGCAAATGCAATGGCATGGCTTACCCAAATTTGACCGCAAAATCTCTGGGTAGGTGTTGTCTTGCATTTCGTTTTTGAACGCCTTCTCTGTATAAAGTCTGAAGCACTTGCCTGGCCGTGTGCGACCTGCACGGCCGGCACGCTGCTGTGCCGAAGCTTTAGATATGGGGGATACGAGCAGACTCTCGACACGTATACGTGGATTGTAAACCTTTTGCTTGGCAAAGCCGGGATCAATCACAAATACAACGCCATCAATGGTCAGAGAGGTTTCGGCAATGTTTGTGGATACCACAACCTTTCGGCCGATCGCACCGTTCGCATTCGGCGGCGGTGCCGCCTCGAAAATGCGCTGTTGTAGATTGGGTGGCAGTGTCGAGTACAAGGGTATGCACTTCAGCTCGCCAATTTCTGAGCCTAGATTGTCAATCTCGCGCTTTATACGCTTGCAAGCCTCTTCAATTTCTTCCTGGCCCGTGAGAAACATAAGTATGTCGCCTGTTTAGATGAGAGTCAAAGTTTAGTATTAAGCCAAGGGTTTAGTTAATCTGATTTGCGTACCTTCAATTTCCTCGCACATATGAATCTGTATAACTGTGCGTATTGCTGCCTCCAAATAATCCCTCTCGGGCTCTGGTGTATAGAAGATCTCAACGGGATGCGTCCGACCAGGCACGGTCATAAGCGGCGCATTGTCAAAGTACTGCTGGAATTTACCTGCATCGAGTGTAGCCGACATGACCACTAATTTGAGATCATTCCGCTGACGAATAACCTCTTTTAGTACGCCCATCAGTATGTCGGTGGCCAATGTACGCTCGTGCGCCTCGTCAAGCAATATAACCTGATATTGATCCAGCATTGGATCTGACATGGCTTCACGCAGCAGCATACCATCTGTCATGTACTTGAGCAGTGTTTTGGGCGAAGAGCAATCCTCAAAACGAATGGAATAGCCGACTTCCTCTCCGAGGTTAACGTCCATTTCTTCAGAAACACGTTGGGCCACGGACATGGCGGCCACACGACGTGGCTGCGTACAGGATACGCCCTTGCGTCCTTTGGACACAGCAAAATCCACACACCATTGCGGTATTTGTGTCGTTTTGCCAGAGCCAGTCTCGCCCACCAAAACAATACACTGATGCTGGCTGAGCAAACGCATAAAGTCCGCTTGATACTCGAATACCGGCAGTGTGATTCGCTTCTTGTACAAGGTTTGGTAGCGTGTTGAGTAAGGCTTCATTGTGAACGGATTCATCGTTGGTGGCTATCAAAGGAATATAAACGGACATTAGAAATTATGTTGATGTTGGCATTGGCAGTTCCTACCTGTTTATTAGGGACAAATCCGCCTAAAACTTGGGCAACTGTGCCGGCGGCTGAAGCCGCTGCTGCTGAAGTTGAGGCTTCCGTCGATTCTCTGCAAATGTCACAACATTGTAAATATCGCGCAAAATATATATTCTCACATATACATACTTTCTGGTCTTTTTTGGGTAGGTTTCGCCCACTTCAATACGCCGTTTCGACATCTTTGCGTCTTGTTAAACTTCACAATTAATAGCAAAAACGTTTTGCACAAAAAAACACGCGCTGAAAAGCAACGTGAAAAGCGATAAATAGCACGAGGGCTGACAGAAAATATCGGAACGCGAACAGTAAACAATGGATGCCTTTACTCTACTGTAAGCTATCGATATTTTTCGATAATTTAAATATTAAGTGCTTTCCCTCAGTTCAATAATATATAACATTATTTCTTTCAATGCTCAAAATTTTTTGTTTGACAGCTTTTGAAGTTATTATTAATGCATAAGCCTATTAAAATTTGTAATAATATTATATAAACTAGTTTCGACATAAGTGCCGATTTAAGCTCAGATTTTTGAATTACTTGGAATGCAAGATACGAAGCAATCATTATTTATTTAATTGTAATAATACATATTGGTTGTTATCGATATACTGCAGTTGGCAAATATCGATAGTTGTTGTCAGTGCGCAGCAATATCGATTCAGCAGTATTTGCAATAAATTTTAAGATGCGCGAAATGTGTATAAAAATGCAAAAATCAAAGTGAAAAACTGTTGCTAAAGCGACAACAAACAATGGAAATACCGATACAAGTGGCCGTACGCATATATCCCCACGCTGAACTTGAAAACAAGCCGGAGCATAAAGCGTCGGAGGATGGCGACGCAGAAGCAGACAAACCGCAATCGAAGCCGTCTTCGCCAAACCCGCCGCTGCCTGCGCCTCCCCCGCAGTTGCCGTTGCAAACAACAGCAATAGATGCTAATGGCAATAATGAGCTGGACGCCAGTCAGTTGAATACAAATGAAACGCCAGATATTGGCAATGCCAGTGACTGTTGCGTGCAGGCAATACCAATCGCTGTATCGGCACTTGGTTTACCGAGCGCTCTGCCCGGCGGTGCGGCCCTGGACAGCATTGCTGCTGGTCTTATACAGGTGGGCGCTCACACTGTGCCTGTGACACATGCGCTGCCCAGCAGCACCACACAGAGTCAGGTGTACCATCAGACAGTGTTTCCGCTGATCAGCTTGTTCTTGGAGGGCTTCGATGCATCGGTGGTTACTTATGGGCAACGCGGTACTGGTAAAACTTACACGCTCTATGGACATGGTTTCGAGTGCGTCTATGGGGAGGCGGACCAGGGCGTAGTACAGCGTTGCGTACGAGAGATTTTTACACACATTGCGGCGCATTCAGGTAAGTCGCTCGGCAATGCTATTAGCAGCAATTGGGCTTAATAATTGAATTTTTATAGATCGCACATACGCTGTCAATGTCGGTTTTGTGGAGATATGCAACGGCGAAATACGTGACTTGCTGAGCATGGGCAATGTCCATTGCACCACTGTGGAGGATGTTTTCCACTGGCTGCAGCTGGGACTGAGCACAAAGCAACAGTCGCCTGCACACACACTCTTCACATTGACTCTGGAGCAGCAGTGGGTGTCCAAGGAGGGTTTGATTCAGCACCGCCTGTCAACGGCAAGTTTCTCAGATCTGTGCGCAAGCGAACGCTGGGGTGAACCGCCACCAGGACACCCACGCGACGCTGGATTGCAGATGCTGGAGCAGGTGGTAAACACATTGACTGATCCCAGCATTATGTACGGCGTCAATGGCAACATTCCCTATGGACAGACCACCTTAACCACTCTGCTTAAAGACTCATTTGGCGGTCGTGCTCAGACCTTAGTCATTTTGTGTGTGTCGCCGCTGGAGCAGCATCTCACCGAGACACTAGGCAATCTGCAATTCGGCTTCAAGGTGCAATGCGTACGCAACTATGTCATTATGAATACTTTCTCCGATGATAATACGCCTATATCGCCGGAGGCATTGCCGCATGATCCTGACGCTGCTGGTACGGCAGCTCTCATGGCCGCCGTGGCTTTGCCCAACGGGGACAACTTTGGGCTGCAATTCGCAGCCAGTCAGTGGTTCAAACTGGTGTCCAATGCAGAGGGACTTTTTGCCAAGTAAGTGGACCCGCAGAAAACTTTTTGCCAGTTTTATTTACATATTTAACCCTCAGATTAATGGGTTCGAATGCTATTACGGAGTTGGAAAAGGAGCAAATTGAAGAGTGGCTCTTTTTAAAGCAAGAGTGCGAAGAATGTTTGAGTTCTAGCGAAGCATTGCGCAACCAAAAGCCGCTAGTGCCCATCCAGGAGGCGGAGGAGCCAGAGGAGTCTATCAGTGAGCCGGAAACCTCCTGCCAGCAAAACTCTGATAATGAAACCGACAATGAGTCGCAGCGTCCAGACCTGGCCGAGAAGCTCGATAGCCTCATGGATGAGTTTCGCACCAAAACGGATGCGCTCATTAAAGCAAAGCACGAGGAGTTTATGCTGAAGCAGCCCAAAGCGGTCATGCAGAGCCAGGACAAAGATCGGGAGCAGTCAACCCAAGAGGCACCACCACAAGTTGAAAAGTGTGACGAGCGAAAGGTTAGCGTGGGAGGTGAGTGTAATAGTGATATATAGATGACCATTTCTATAATCGAATGCCTTTCAGGACGCCGACGTAGCATACAGCCGGGTGCCAGCTTGAGTAGCGCAGAGCTGGCAATGCTGAATCGTGTTGCTTCGCAGCAGACAACTGGAACAGAATTGCCAGCGGAATTCGATCCACTCAACAACTCAAAAGGCACTGCCGACGGGCTGCGAAATGCGACTGGCGTGGCTGGCGTAAACGGACCCATCGAGCAAGTGCAGAAGAAGATGCGCAAGCTGAATGCCGAGATCGAGGCACGTCAGCGACAGCTGAAGGAAATCGAACAAACGATGCAGCTCAAGCAGAACATAATTAGTGAGCTGGTGAAGAACCGTGAGACGCGCAGTCATGCCAAGCAGCGTTTCCATAAGAAGAAGGCCAAATTGGATGCGGAGTGTGAGAAGGCTAAAAAGCATCTAGCCAAGGCACTGGTGCAAGGCAAGGACAAAGCGGAAATCGAACGGTGGGACGCTATAATAGCGCATATTGAGCAGCGCCTGCAGGATCTCAGCTCGATGAAGCATATTGCGGGCGAGAGTGGTCAAAAGCTTAAGAAACTGCAACAATCTGTAGCCGAATCACGCAAACAAATCGAGGAAGTGCAAAAGAAGCTGAAGAAGGATGGAAAACTGCGTGATCAGCTAGAGGCCGAGCTCAAGACCTTGAAGGAGGCATCACTAGTCAAAATGGAACCAAATCCAGACGAGCTCAAAGCGGTGCAGGCTCGCATCACCCACTTGGACCACATACTGCGCGAGAAGTCTGAAAATCTTGAGCAATGGGACGGCGGCGAAAAGTCTCCAGCACAACAGGAGGGTCTACGGCACGAGATACGCAATCTGAGACGAACGCGTGACCATTTGCTAGAGCAACGCTGCACTTTGGATCGCAAGCTCAAGCGCGACAAAATACTAACGCAGCGCGAAGAGCGAAAGCTACTCGAGTGCGACGAGGCGATCATGGCCATTGACGAGGCTATCGAGTTCAAGAACGAGCTCATATGCGGCCACAAATCCATCGATTTGTCCACCGAGCGCCAGCAGCGGGAGAAGGGCGAGCAAATGCTGATGGCGCGATTAAATAAGCTCTCATCTGAGGAGATGCGCACGCTGCTCTACAAGTACTTTGTCAAGGTCATCGATTTGAGAGATTCGTCCCGAAAACTTGAGCAGCAGCTGGTGCAGCTGGAGCGCGAACGAGATGCCTGGGAATGGAAGGAACGGGTACTTTCTAATGCGGTGCGCCAGGCACGACTCGAGGGCGAACGCAATGCAGTGCTGCTGCAGCGCCAACACGAAACAAAGCTAAGTCTGATGCTGCGTCATCTCGCTGCGGAGACCTCGGCCAGCTCAGCCAGTTATGGCGATCGTGCTCTAGCGCCGGCTACCAGCCAAGGCACCAGCAGTGAATTTGACTACGACCTTGACTTTTATAAAGCGGCCAGCAATAAGGCATTGCTCAAGGCTCAGCAGGCGAAAGCGACGCCGGCTGTCTTGGATAAGTACAAGGACAAGGAGCGAAGCAGTGGACGCAACATCTTTGCCAAGTTTCAGGTGCTCACTCGTTATGCATCCGCAGCTGCTGCTGCAGCAGGCTCATCCTCGACAGCGGACGAGTCTACAGCGTTAATTGAGACGACAACGACGGCGGCTACAACCACAACCACCACAACAACAACAGCAACCACAAGCACGTCGGCCAAAGGAAAGGAAAAGGCGCTGGTCACCATCAACCAGGATCAGCTGAAACGCCTGATGCCCGCACCGACGTCCACAAAGGTGACGCGTCAGAAAAACAAGATCATCATACAAGATGCGACGCGCAAGAACTAAAGCACTTTGTGAGCTCTCTCTCTCTCTCTGGGGAGAGAGAAAAGGAAAATGTTAGCTGAGAGAACGGATACATTGCTCGCGTCGATGACTGAACAGCATTCAATAGCGTCGGGAGGCAACTGGATGGGTTTTCTCTACTCTCTATCTCCCACTGCTTATATTCTAAACCCGACTTACTCAATACTCAATACTCAAATGTACAACTATAATTTATAATGTTAGAGCTATAGACAAACTCATCTCGAAATGGATAGATATATGTACTGAACAAATACGTCCACAGACGCGTTTCAATAGACTTACCATGGTATTCATCTAACTTCTGACGCATTTAAATGTCAACAACAAAGATCCCTCGACTGGCAAATCTAAAGACTTGACAATTGTTACTTAAAATACTCGAAACTCAGCAATCCCAAATGGAAAACGCAATTAACTCGCTCAAATTGTTTACTTAAGCAATCGAATCTCTTGTTCTATGTACATATAATATTCATATGTATTAACTTTAGTTATATATTTTGCATTTAGGTTACCTTATAAGTCACAATTACTATATTTTCGCTTTAAGTTTTCTATTACGTTTTCTCTTATTTTTTAACATATTTATATGTCTTCCCGAAATTTAAAGAATCCTAGATATATTGATCTTTTATGACTTCCATATCAATGCATTTATTCAGTCTGCCCTTGAGATGTTTACCTTTAAGTTATATATGCATATATACTATATATTTACTGATACCGGCGTTTCTCTAAATTACTTATATTATAAATGTTATAAGAATTTAGGTTGTGTTTAATTTTGTTTAAATTTATAATGCAAGAATTATAAGAATAATGCATATGCTTTATATCAAATTCATATTCCGAATAAATGTATTTTAACAAAAAAAAACATATCACTAAATATTTTTAATTTTTTAAGCATTAGATACCTCAAAATATAGTGCAGATAAGTTCACCTATGCAATATTTTCTCGCAATCCGATGCTTAGTCAGCATCAAAGTAAACAAACACAGCTAAGATTGTTCTCACATGTTCGGCTGACTAATAGATTTTATATATTGTCTTTAAGATTTTTATACTTTACCTTAAATTCCACACAATAACAACAAAACGGAGCACATATCCCAGCTGCCTTCGCTCACAACAAAGTATCAACCAACAGGTGTCCCCTGAAAATATCCCCGCAAATTTCCCAAACAATTGCCCCTTCACACACACACTGACAGCGAGCGGCAAGAGAGTGCAAAAGCAAAATGGCCGGTCGCTTCAGAGTTACTGTCAGGCAGAGAGGCAAATCAGTCTGGTTTGGACCGTTGAGCGATAACCGTCGAACGTACTGAAGTCGGAGTTTACGTCTGCGTTTTCAGAGTGCGACTGTTTGTGTGTGTGAGCATTGTTTGGGCTACGGTTACGGTACGGTACTCACACCCCCGCAAACCGGTTCGCTGGTGGTGGTTCTAACGTTTTACGCGCTTTGGCTGTGTGCGAGCGTGAATTGTGAATACGCCAAATAAAGTTAAATAAAATGCAAAGGCAATAAATAATACAAGCGGCGAATTGTAAAAAGCAGAGCACAGCGCCAAAAAGGCAAGCGTGCGTGTGTGTGAGTGTTTGTTGTGCAGCAGTTGTTGTGCAGAGTCGCCACCCCAGTGGATTAGTGGCACCCTGTTACAAGTTGCTCACACTACCTAGTGCTAGTGAGTGTTTCGTGCATAAACATTAACGGCATCAATTCAGCAATACATCAATTCAAACGGTATGTGTAACAACAACAGTTAACTGTTTTTTCGCATCTGTCTGGCAACTTCTTCTTTGTGCGCGTTTGTCTCCAACGGGCTATTGTTGCTGTAATTGTTTTCCACGCCCACCAGCAACACAGCGATGCCAACACCCACAGCTAAATACACCTAATTTGGAGTCAGATTTGATTTATGCCATTAGATTAACCTGCGCATCATTGGGGCCAGGTGAATTGGTTGGTTTTGGCACAGCTTCCTATTGATTTTTCGCCAAAAAACTAAAGTTTTCGCTTTAGCGAATCAACTTTGTTAACTTCCACATACACACACACGCACACACACTCACACAGTCAAGGAAAAGGGTGTGTGCGGCACAGAGCCTCTGACTTGAATTTGTCGTGCGACTTTTGCAGCTCCTGGCAAAAGCATTTCAACTGCTGAAAACCTGCAAAAATTGTGAAATTTATAAATTTCAATGTTTTCTGTTATATTTTAGAATATTTTTATTATTTGCTTTTAACATTTTCATTTAGCATTTGCCGTTTTTCAAAATTCCTTTTCTGCATTGCTTAGTGAATTTTTTTTAGCGCATGCGCTTTGCTCCTCACACAGATATGAAAGCAACTCTGATTTGTGTGTATTTGTGTGTGTGTGTGAGTGTGTGTGCAACCTGCCTGAGCTGCCTTTGTCTGTGTCAGGTAGTTTTTCCCTTCCCAGGCAGGCTTAGGTTCCATGGGCTCAGTCCACTTTGTCTTGCAGCATCTTTTAAAATCCTTTGCAATTTCCATGTGGCACACATACGTAGGCCTCATTGTACACATGTGACTGTGTGCGTGCGTACGCATACGTATGTGTGTGCGTGTGTGAGAGCAACCCCTGCTAAATAAGGCACTCATCCCGAGTCCCGTCACTGCTTCAACAGAATCCCGTGCAGCTGTCGTAGTTTCCTTTATTTGATTTTGCAAGTGTTGCGCGTTGCCTTCGACGTTGCCGCTGCCATTGCCGTTGCCTTGGTCCCACGTCTCGACTGCCTGTCTGCAGGTCCTTTCTCCTTTTCTAAACTGTGCATTCGTCCTGTTGCTAGGCGGAGTTTCTTCTTATTCTTTTTTCTTTTTTTGGCCCTGCAGACATGCTCTTTGATTTAAAGATATATCGATTTTTGAGCATCTTCAACTTGCCCACCAAAACATATATTTGGCTGACTCTTAAGCCTGCCCTAGCCCAGCCGAAGCATATATCAAATATTGATTGTGGTTGAAATGAACAATGCGCTGAGCAAATAATGAAACATGAAAGTTTTGTGGCCGCTGCAGTCAGACACAAAGTACACTTGAATCTCAATTAGGCGCCGCCGCATGCAGCGTCCAATGGGTCACTGAACATGCAACATGAACCGAGCTGGACAATGGCCGGACAGTTGTTCCTTTCCGGTGTTCATGACGAATGCTGCGAATTGACCCTGCACTGGGCCAGTGCACTTTGTGGGGCAGACGCCTGCAGCCAGCAGCCGTTCGCCCCTCTTGAATTTTATATTCGAAAATGGAAAACATTGCAAAATTTATCGGACTCGACACCCTAATGCAGCCAGACAGTTTTTTATGTATGTTTTTTAGCTGCCAACCGAACGGAAAACAAGCAACAAGAATGAGTAATAAAATTTGTAATTCGTTGATGTTACCACGCGATTGAGCGGCACAGCCGGATCTGTTCAGATTTAATTGAGGCCCTCAATTTCTTTGTTCAATTGACAACATAATTTATGTTTATTATTATTATTTTTATTTCAAACTGACTCAAAGTTTTCAATTTTAAGCTGACATTAAAATTGTTCAAATTCTTATGTTCCTCAGTTCAACACTCCTTCCGATTATATTACTTTTATAGCTGCCCGAATGTGGCAGTCGTTAGTCTATTAAGTATATACCTTGAGTCTTGATTAGCACAATTAGCAGAGTCTAGATATGCTCTGTTTCAAGAGCTAAAGAAATGACTATTCTTGTCTAAGTTTTCTGTATTCTATTAAGGAAAAGTCTCTTCATTTTTTAATTATTTTCTACTATTTCTACTATTATAATACTCTATTTCTACTACTATAAACATAGTTGTTAGACTTGCTGATAGCATTTCATCTGTGTGTGATTCTATGGCGTCTGTTTAAGATGTGAAAAATTTTGACTAAGTTAAGATTCAAGATTTTTATCGATTGATTCTTATCGATAAATTCGTATCGATAAATTCGTATCGATAAATTCGTATCGATAAATTCTTATCGATAGATTTTTTATCGAAAACGGATAGAGATATTGAAGAGAACATAATAAATTTGTATTTAATATGAAGTCTATAGCTTGAAAGGCAAAGTTTGCTTTAGCAACTCAGTTTTTGTTCCTTAGAAACATTTTAGCCTCCTTTTGTTTTACATACACTTGCACTAAATCATTTTAAAGCGTATTTTTATAATATATTATTATTAGTAGTCTAGTGTTCTTATAGGTCTAGAAATCTTTTGTCTATAATTGTTAGGTCAACAATCCATAGGTATTTGTATTCTCCTTAGCAAATGAAGACTTGATATAATAATCTGGTATATAGTTTTATATTTTTATATATAAAATAGTTAACTGCGCAACAAAATCGATTTTGTATTCAGTTATATGAAACAGATCTGCCTCTTAGAAGAACAATATTTCTTTAGATTCACAATCTTTTGCATATCTTTCTCTCTCTCACTCTTCCTCTATTATGTAATTTATGTCTATATATGCACAAAATGTTCATGTTTATGCGATAAATATGCCATAAAAGCCACATAAATTTGGCAAATGTTTTATACAATTTCGGGCTACATAAAACGAGCAAAAGACACTGATGAGTTGTATATAGAATCGCGTGTGCTTTTGGGCGGGGTGTTGACCGGTTAACAGATGTTTTTCAAATCGAGGCGCGCAATTTGCGGCATATGTTTAATAATTGTAACTCGCAGCTGAATTATATGGCAAGACAGCGAATGCTGCTTCCATCATAGCAAAAATAATGTGAAGAGCAGAGGCGGCCATATCCATATATGACATTATAGTAAAATCTATCAAAAGTATTAATTCAGTTGAACAATACTGTGAAATTATATGAATTAGTATTTGCTTCTGCTCTGTTCCACCCCAAAGTCGAGTGCGCAGCTGCGCAACTGCGTCGCAGCCCGACAGGAAAAGTTGTGAATTACGTTTGCATTTACCCTCTGGCAAAGTTCATTAAACCTATTCGAAAGCTAACATTTAGCAGGGTGTCTGCCCGATCCTCCCTCTTTGACTGGCCACGTGCCGACTTTAGCTGCTGCGCATGCGTCGCGCAACCCCACAAACTATAAATCTTCAGCTAGAACGGCGAATAGTAAAATTCATTAGATAACAATAAAAAAACTAAGAAAAATCATAAAGAGCTTTGTGAGCATTTGTTGCTAGGGCACAATGCACTCAAGTTTTAATTAAGTGTTAAAAAGCAGACAAATTGTCCATGAAACTCATATATATAAACTTCGACCGTCAGCTAAAGACACATGCCAAGATGGACGGTCAGACAGACGGATGGGCAGACTCCATGTTGATATCCATGTCCATGTGCCGTGGCAAGTTCATAAGCGGCATATGTCACAGACAGACAGTCCAAAGAAATTGATAGATACATACATACATACATATCTCTCTATATATATAGTTATATTTACGTATGTGTGAAATCGTGACTTCCTGCCAGTCTTAGTTTTTAAAGCACGCCAATGTTTGGTTCAGCGTCAGTGGGGGAGGAGCGTCTCTTACTTTATGGTTGACAGAAGGCACAAGACGACATCGAAGTGGATTTTCTATTGCCCCATTGCTGCCCATTTGCCCATTTGAGGTTTAATTAATGACATCCACATCGGCAGTAGTAGCTGTTTACCCTAACATGGGGCATTATAGCTATCAAGCGAAATGTGCAACGTCTTAAAGAGCAACTCGTCTGCTATTGTAGAGAAATGACTCAAATAAAGCAGTAAATATTTCACATTATATGCTATTGATATATATATATATATATATATTATAAACTGTAGTTAACTTTATTTTATTAAATATAAATTCAAAGTTAAGAGTATTCACGACTCCCCAACTTTAAGTTAGTTTTTCCACTGTCTGTGGCTGCTTCCCTTTTCCTATATTTTTGCTGATAGTTTGTATAGCTTTATAAATAGTTGGCGTTGTTGCAAGTCTGCGGGTCTAATTCGACTGCCATATGTGGCAGCTGTGGACAAATTGTTGGCACGTTTACTTTGATGGATTTACATAAAGATGCGGGCAGTGCCTTGTGGTGTGCCTTAAAAATAATTTAACTGGCTAAGAGACTAAGCAAGGTTTATAATTCAAACAGATTTACTATAGAGTTTTTATGCTTAACAATTGATTAAAAATTAAGGCAATAGAAATGTAAATTTATTGAAAAATACAGATTGAAAATATTTTTTAAATTTTAAATTAATAAAATTACAAAAAGAAACTTTTATAAAAAAATATATGTTACAAAAAAATATATAAGTAAAAATTAAAAAAACTTTATAAAAGCTTAAAAATGATACTAAACAAAAGACCAAATTTATAAAAATAAAAATTTGTAAAAATTAAAAATTTATAAAAATAGTAATTTTAAAAGTTAAAATTATAAAAATTAAAAATAAAACTTTATAAAATCAAAATTAAAAAATATATAATATATTTATCTTTAATTTAGGCAAAATTATATGAATACAAAAATGTTAATAACTCATTATAAGCTTATTAATTAATTATTATTATATTATAACTATTATAAAAAGTAGTTATAAACTTAATATCCACAGTAGCCACAGTAAGCTTTATTATTTAACACTGTGCTACACATTTCGCAAAGCAAATTTGCACGTCCAGCAGGTAGCCGGTGAGGGTGGGACTAAAGGGTGCTTGAAGGGTTGCCATCGGGGTTGATGTGTTTGCCTAATCAAATTACTTGCATTTCATTAGCATTGGGTAAGGTCTCATTAAAATCGATAGACGTAAATATGCATATATACACATATTCAATCTTAAAAGTAGCTGAATCTTTAATTACAACTCTCACATATATATATATAAAACCGGAAACATTTAAGCTAATCCTAACCCTGACAATGTTTTGCTTCTTATTGCAGCAGCTGAGTCACCGGGCGTCTACAGCCAACTAACCGCGAGTGTGTTCATATATATATATATAAAGGGTGTTTTGTGCTTTCCGCATAAAATCGATACAACCCCAAGCAGGAAAACTCATAACCCAGACGAGACTACAGAAGCGGCCTAAACGATGCCCAACGATTGCCACAAATGGCTAACGCTGTTCGCAGCTGTTGCTCTACTTGGTGAGTAATTGATAATTTCATTTGAATTGTGTTTTCGATATAAGTTTTCAGTCGAAAATGCTATGTTTTCATTCCACTTGAGAAAAATCATGAAGCATCCATCGCATGCGTCAAACCGAAAAATGTTGAAATAACTCAGAAAAGTTTCCCACGGTTTCGGGTCTTTAAATAGAAACAAATAATTAATAAAGGATTCTTATAAATTTCTCTGACTTAATTTTATTTAAACTCCGACTAACTCTCTTCTTCTCTCACTCTTTATAAATAGAATTTTAGAAAAACAAACAGTCGAAACATTTTGTTAGAATTGTGCAATGTTTCTCTTTTTACTTTTCACATTCTCGTGCCTCTGTTTATTTAATTTACATTTCAACTTTTACTTCTTGCTGCGCTTTTATCTTATTGACACATAAAGTCTGCTAGATACTCTACAAAGTCTGCTGGACTTAGATAACAAATATGCTTCACATTTATGTTTTGTTTGACTGCAGTAAATGTGTTTCAAATGTTTGCTTTCAGATATTATGCTTGATGAATGCATTCTTAGATATTATGTATGCGCTGTAAGCGTGTAAGATAGGGTATATTCGTTGTATGCAAGTATATGTAACGGGTAGAGTGAGTGGGTATATAAGAGAAATGAAGAGCAGCGAGCAGCGTCTATGTAGTTTATGTTATAATTAGTGTATAACTATTTACAAACATTTAACAAATAGACTGCAAATATTCCAGTAATATAGGAGCTTGTAGACTTAGTACCCTGAACACATTAAAAAAATTTATTTCAATATAATTTTCTGAAAAGGTTATGTAATAAGTAGAAGGAGCAGAAGCGTAGAATGCTTAGAATTGCAGCTGAGCACAAGGGTCGGGGTATCTTCTAGTTGAACACTCCCGACTATGCACAGTCATTTGGCGCACTCTCAACTATTTTCTTAGGCTTAAGTTGCTTTTATCTGTAACGACTCATTGACTCACTCAGCATAGTGTAGTAGTAAGAAAGAGTGTTTCCTTTAGAATGGGAATCAGTGCTACAGTGCCTCCTAGTTAAGTTGAACTGTTGCAATTGTAACACTTAATAGCACACACAGCATAAAGATAATCTAGTGTTTAAGCGTTTAGAAGTAGAAAAATGAGTAAGCAGATTGCATGGGTTAATATCAATTATAAAAAGTATATATATATATATATATATATTTATATATATACAGACATATGTTCTGTATATATATATATATATATATATATATATATATATATATATATATATATATATATATATATATATATATATTATTATATATATATATATTATATATATTTGTTTCAGAACTTTTGCTTTATTCTAAATTATTATCACATACACAAGAGGCAATTGGTTGGGGCAAACATTTGACCCGTTTGCGATATCGTAAAAGACCTAAATAATCAATTTGATTGTGCTAAGGGCATAAGACAGTTACATAAAACGCAACATCTTCAAAGTTAAATATATATATATATATATAAATAATATGCGCACGTTGCACGTGTCGTATGCGCAATTTTTCGTTTTCTGCAACTTTAAATAGAAGATTTGGCGCAAGCCTCTCCAAGCCGCATTCGCATGGCAGCTAAAAATAAATTGACACAAAAGCGATGGCAAAGCAGAAGCCGGCGCACACAATGTACAAGAAAAATAAATGAATTTTTGTTTGCTAATAAAAAATTAAAAATTCAATTACGTAATTTCGCATGCGGACAATTGAAAGCAATCAAATGAAAATGAAACCAGTTTAGAAGTAACAAAAGCAGGGAAGAGAAAGCCTTTGAAAATAGGTTTTAGCTTGAGTTTGAACTGATCTTGAATATATTATAAGCTTTCTGTATATACCAAGGTCAACCGTTGCCCAATGTAACTGAGATGGACAGCCGTCCATAGATAGATGAAGAGATAGATGAATATGGACATATGAAATGAAAAGAATCAAATTTGTTGTTCATCAAGAAATTAGAGGCAGTTCCCAGTATTTTTTTTGCCTGTAACACATTAAGTTAACAAGTCAAATCAGATATATCTGAGATACACAATGCCAAGTAAAAGATACAAATTGCATTCAGCTGCAAATACCTTTACATAGCCTGCCACGCGCTCAACAAATATTCCAGGGTATTTAATAAACAAAATATGATATATCTTTATTTGTATTGCTTCAAAGGCAGCGGCACACGAGCGACTCTGAGATACAAAATGCCAAGTAAAAGATACAATGCCAAAGTTGATTTTTGTTCTTGCTCTCGAACGGCTGGCGCGCATCTTGCGCTGATTGTGCGGGTCATCATTCAATTGAAATTGATTAAAAACATTTTGCGCCAATTTTCCATTCCCATAAGTGAATACAGAAAATAAAAATGTAAACAAGCTTTTATTCCACACACACACACAGCTCCACATAATTTAAGCTAAAATGCATCTTTTATTTTCGTTGGCAACGCATTTAATTCGCATTTAATTCAATTGCTTTGATAATGCGCTGCTGCTGCTGCTGCTGCTGCAAATCGTTGTATTTACAGGAAGCGCACAATTGAATACAGCACGAGCAACATTTATAGAAACACTGCCCTTAATGGATATAAATCGTCTGTCTGGGCAGCTGGAATCTTTAGGCAAGAAAAGGAATGTCAAAGTATCTTTGCTAAGATAGGGCTTTTAATTTGTTTTTGACAGAAGCCAACGTGTTTAGTTTCTATAACTAATCAATAACTAAGCCATCAGCACAGTAAGTGAAAAGTAAGTTATTTGTTTTGTTAGCTTTTTCAGGCTCTGATCGAAACATGTACAATTTCTACAAAGCTAAATTAGCTTCACAAAAATATAATTAAAATATTTTTGTATTCTAATTAAAGTATGTGATGCTGGCAGCTAAAGCAGCAAAATAATTTCAAAATAGTTTCATATTTTTTTTCTTTTTTAATTAACCAAAAATAATGCTCAAGCATCTTGAGTTAGACTTTTCAAGCTACAATCAGCTCTGTCATTTATATGAAAATATGAGAAAAAATTTCTATTAATAAATTAAACAACTGTTAAATATACCTTTGCTTATTAGAAACAATTTTAAATAGTAAAAATTAAAATTTATACATTTCATATATTTATTTAAATATTTATATAAGTAGTTCAATTGAGACTGGCACGCCATGACGTAAGCTGAGAGAAAGCTTGTGAGGAAACAGGCTTACAGACCTGGCTATATGGCTTTACCTGTTCAAGGTGATCAGCTATGTGTATATACTTAGTGCCTCACACATGATGTAAATAAAATTAAAATATTTTACAAATTTCTTCACTCCTACAACTTAAATTCTTATTGAAAATCAGTAGACCTTCCATTAAAGTAGTTGTTAACTGTAAATATTGCCAGATAATGAGTATTTCTATAGGCAATTTGCCTAATAGTTGAGAACTTTTAGCTAGTTAGAATCAGAAGAAATGTTTTGCTAATCATAAGCATCATCAGATAAAGAAGAAACTTTTCTCTTCAGCTAGTTTTCTTTTGAGTTTTCTTTTCCCAAATAGCTGAGCAGTTATTAAAAGCTCGTTAACTAGAATATATTTGTACTAAAGTGCTTAGCTGATTTGATTTTGAAGAGCTTTAACTGAAATGCTTATGTTTAACTATTGTTTTCTAGCTGACCTAAAGAAGAGTTAGTTTTTTTATCAGAAAGGTCTTAGATATGACTGAAGTACTGAGTACTGAAATCACTTATTCTATGCACTTTTGAAGGTAGAATCGTTCTCTGTATAGTGAGAGAAATTTAGAACACTTAAGAAATCAAAACTAAATACATTTCTAAAGTACTGCTAAAGTTAATATATTTGTTAAAATAAATTATAGAAGGAATTATAGATGAAACACTTTTTCATTTGATATTTGCTACAGTTTTGCGAATCTCTCTAGCAGTCATGGAGTCAAGTATTATTAAGCTACTTACCAGAGCAAGATATGTATATATAAAGCTAATATCTAGAAATAGTATTTAGCTTGGCTTCTGTCTACATATCTTGCTATACATTACGTCAGGCTGTGCGCTCATGAATTGTCTCGATTGGAATGACAGGCCTCAAGTGAGAGATGAGAACGAGATGATGCTGCAAACGCACACGCACAGGCACAGAGATCAGATCAGTGAACCGGGCTGCCAAAATAAAAGCCATTTCCGTTATTCTCCACACAAAAAGGAAAAAGAAAGCAGAGGGGATCGAAGAGAGAAGCGTATAATTACAAGTGATTGATATGCACTAGTCGAGGCACCGAGACTCATAGCCGGCTCCCTCTTTCGTGGAGCACAGACGCCGACGATGGAGGCATATCACACGCGGCGCTTGTCCAAACAACAGGAGAAGAGCAGCAGGCAGGCACTTCAACATGGAAGAGCAGCAGCTGCTGTTGGGGCTGCACAGAGCCTCAATTCCATAGATATATATATACATATATATGCATTCTATAGATGATTTATTTTTAATGGTTCTCTCGAAACGTGTCTCTCTCTGGCACTGTGCATGTTTCCCGTTTATTATTAGTTATTATGTTTGTGCCGAAGTGCAGAGGAATTGTCGACGCAGCCGCAGGAATGTGGCTGGGGCATGGATCTGGGCTGAGACACAATCATGCAGTAGTGGCACTTTAATGGGCCAAGTTTTATGTCATTATGCGGAGTTTTCCAAGTTTGCGCTGTGTAATATTGGAAAATCTATTCACTTGTAGCTCATTCTTTACAAATCCAGCTAAGCTCAGACATCAAAGAGTCAACGTCTGCTCATGCAGTGCGCCATTTAAAACATTTGTCATACATTTCGCTTAAGCTCATTAGCAGCGTCGAAACGACTCGCAGGCATTTCAATAGACAACCCAGATATGCCTTATATATATCTCTATATATTGAAAGCAGCCGGCAGCCGAAAATATTTTACGAGCTGCTGCTGAAAATGCATCGCTGGCAATTAATGCGTCTGTAGA